CCGAATCTCCTTGGTTCTCACTCCATATATAATGGGATTCAACATAGGAGGAACCAGAAGGTAAAGGTTGGCCAGCAGGATATGAACATGGGGAGCCACGTTGTGCCCAAAGCGGTAGGTGAAAAACGAGAAGAGTGCTGGGCTGTATGATATTGTGATGACACAGAGGTGGGAACCACAAGTGCCGAAGGCCTTGAACCTGGCCTCACTGGAGGAAAGGCGTAGCACTGCACGGACAATGAAGAAGTAAGAGAGGCCAATGCCTAGAAGGTCCCCCCCAATGACAATCAAGGCCGCACTTAGCCCATAAACACTGTTGATTCTGGTGTCTCCACAGGCCAACTTCACCACAGCCATGTGCTCACAGTAGGTGTGATGGATAACATTTGTCTGACAGAAGGACAGTCTTTTGATCAGGAAAGGACATGGGCACATCAGTAGGGTCCCCCTGACAACAGCTGCTACCTCCATCTTGGCAGCTAGGGAGCCGGTGAAGAAAGAGTTGTATCTGAGAGGGAAGCAGATGGCCACGTAACGATCTATGGCCATGGTCAACAGCACCGCTGACTCCATCATGCACAAAGCATGGATGAAGAACATCTGGGTCAAACAGGTATTAAACTGGATCTCCCCAGCCTGGAACCAGAAGATGGAAAGCATCTTGGGCAATGTAGAGGTAGTGGCTGCTAAGTCAATAGTGGAAAGCATGCAGAGGAAGTAGTACATGGGCCTGTGGAGGGCTGGTTCTGATACTATGACTAATAAAATGATAGAATTCCCAGCAATGATGATCACATAGCCAGTGCACACTGCCACTGAGAACCACAGGTGGTATGCCTCCAGCCCTGGGATGCCTTGCAACACAAAAATAAAGGACCAGGAGTATGTCAGATTGCCCATCATTCAGATCATGCAAGATGCACCCATCACTTTGGTCACCAGCTTCACTGAAGATCATAGCACCTGTCAATTAAAACAGAGAAAGAGATGGACGATGAAGTTGGTCATTGGGACCAGAGGTTTAGTCTTCCAAGCTTTCAGACTTGCATTGGAGCCCCTCCTTGGGGAACTTCTCTCCCTCCAGGATGTATGCACTGAGCGATGTGTAGTGTTTATGTGGTGCCTGGTTGTGGGTGGCTTTTACTTGAGAAAGTAAGCTGTTAGATGAGGAAGCTTAGAGCTGCAGGAAACCAAGAATCTTTGTAGCTCAGGATTGAAATGAGGGTGCTCTCTGAGCTTGGTTATTTTCTTGCAGATGTTTCATTATCAAACTAGGTAACATTATCCAGTGCTAGGAAGATGTGGGGTTTGCAGAGTGGAGGAGAAGGAGAAGGAGAAGGAGAAGGAGAAGGAGGAGAACAGTGACGTCCTTGATGCTCTCTGAGCTTAGTTGTTTTCTTGAAGACGTTTCATTACCCACACTAGCTAAATTGTAATCTATCGCTGAAAACAAGCAACAAGCCTGCAAGAAAACTACCAAGCCCAGAGAGCACCAAGGGCCCTTCTGCAGGAAACCTTCTCAGTCTCAGCCTCCGAGGATACCATGCAAATCTTGTTCTAGGGCTAGGCTAAACTAGGGACTGCTGGTCCTGTAAAAAAAAATCCTCTCCAGCAGAAGCTTGGAAGAGCTTCAAAAGAAGTGGGCAGCTCTGGTCTCACAGTGGCAGCCATGTGGTTTGGGAGGGGTGGGGATTAAAGGGGCAACTTCAGAAGTGAATAATAGAATAACTGAATTGGAAGGGACCTTGGAGGTCTCCTAGTCCAACCCCTGCTCAAGCAGGAAGCCCTATGCCATTCCAGACAAATGGTTGTCCTCCAGTGATGGAACAGCTACAACCTCTGAAGCCGTTCCACTGGTAGATTGTTCTCACTGTTTGGAAGTTTCTCCTCAATTCCAGGTTGCTTCTCTCCTTGATTAGTTTCCATCCTCTGTTTCTTGTCCTGCCTTCAGGTGCTTTGGAGAACAGGTGGACCCCCTCTTCTCTATGGCAGCCCCTCAACTATTGGAACAGTGCTATCATGTCTCCCCTAGTCCTTCTTTTCATTAAACCAGACGTACCCAATTCCTGCAACCATTCTCATATATTTTAGCCTCCAATCCCCTGAAAAAGCAGACAAATGTTGGCTGCCAATTTAGAAACTGAACCAGGAAGCCAACTATGTTAGCTAACAGGATGCTTGAATTTCTGCATCTCTTGGGCTTGAACACTCACCAGGCAGAGACAGCTTTGTGGGGTCCTTTAGAGTGGGGTGTCATGCATCCTGCAGGTCCCTCTTGTGTAGCACAAGTGTTGCGCCTTCCATGAGAAAGAATTCTTTATTGTCTTGAACAGACCAAGCGAAATCCTTGCCTGGAATTCAAGCTCTGCCCTTTTCTGGTTCCTTGTTGCTTTTTTAAGTCTTCCACTCTGGGAGAAATGGAAGAGCTCTCCCTGCAGTATTTGCCAGCCCTGAAGTCGGCCCAGTGAGGGCAGGAGCCTCTGCAGACTGGCACGGAGGGAGCAGTTGGGCACATGGGTGGACTGGAAGCCATCTCCTCAGGCACCACATGGATCCAGACTTTTTCTGTTAGTCCCTGGAGGTGTGATTGCAAAACACTGGCAAACTAGCGTTCCTTTGGCTCCATTGAATTTTAAAGAAAGGAAATAGTGGAAGAGAAAATATGATCTTGGTCGGGACAAGGAAACCATCCCCTTCTCTGGGTTACATTCTCAGGTTTTGGAAACCGAGTGGAATAGAATAGAATAGAATAGAATAGAATAGAATAGAATAGAATAGAATAGAATAGAATTTTTTATTGGCCAAGTGTGTTTGGGCACACAAGGAATTTGTCTTGAGGCATATGCTCTCAGTGTACATACAAGCAGTAAGTGATAAATCATTATCATAATCATAAAGAGCCTTGGTGGTGCTGTTAAGTAGCACTTAGCTGCCAGCTGCCTGCAATTACTGCGAGTTCAAATCTCACCAGGCTCAAGGTTGACTCAGCCTTCCATCCTTTCAGAGGTAGGTAAAATGAGGACCCGGATTGTGGGGGCAATAAGCTGACTTTGTATAAAAAAGAACACCGCTTAGGGGGCCCCGAAAGCCCTACTAAACAGGTGTATACAAAAGTATGAAGGCTATTGCTTAACGCATTGTAAGCCGCCCTGAGACTCCGGAGAAGGGTGGCATATAAATCGAACCAATAAATAAATAAATAAATAAATAAATAAATAAATAAATAAATAAATTAAATAAATAAATAAATAAATAAATAAATAAATAAATAATACAATCATCATAAATCATAAGATAACTTTCTATAACAACGAACCTATCTATTGTAATTAGCAAAACCCAAAGTCAAAGTTTCATTTTTTTCCAGTCCAAAAGCGGTTTCCAAGTAAACACAAAAGTAATTGTGTTCTTTTCTTTAATCAAAGTAGCCAATTTAGCCATCTCTGCTAACTCCCTTCATCCATTGTGGGAATCAGAGTAGCCTTCCATTCTTGTGCATGGAGTCTTCTGCTGTCTCCAGGTATTGCCACGTCCACTATTCAGACTTTGTTTTGGTTTTTTTGGTTCTTTTCATTGGCAGATGTTAAGTCTGGGGTATTATGTGGTAGGTGCCTGTGTTATTATTATCAAATTTATTTGCCATCCATCTTGCAGTTTGAGCGACTCTGAATTTAACTTCCAACATGGATTCCATGAAATAAGAGAACATCTCAAGTGCTTCTCAAGTGGCCAAAGCTTCTGTTTTGCTTTTGTAGCTGAAGCAGCCGTGGCCTTCAGTCGCTGCACCGTGAAACCTTCACGGAAAGCAAAGGGAGGAGCCGCCACAATCACCAGAACAGGATGTCTAAGGGCGCCTGTGACTCTCCTTCTCCAGGGGCCCTTCTGGGACCTCGTTTCTCCCCATCCGTGACCAGAGGGCTGTCCCCAGGGTTGCTTATGAAGTTATCATGCTCAACATCTGGAAGGCTTGATCATGCCTCTCTTGACTTCTGGAGTTAACAGAGTTCGGAATGTCCTCTGTTACATTCAACCCCATCTGTGAAGCTTTTATCTTCATTGGTCACTCAGAGTCAGATATGAGATGGGTGGGAAATAAATGTCATCTTCATCCTCAGCATCCTGCTTGATGTCTCAGCTTCTCCATCTTTGCCAACCAGTTTGGTGCAGACAGCAGCCTCCACCTTATAGAAGTGAATATTTGCAGCTCAGGGTTGAACTGAGGGGTCTGTCTCTCCCCCTCCCTCTCCCTCTTCCTCTCCCCCTCCCCCCTCCCCCCCTCCCCCTCCCTCTCCCTCTCCCCCTCCCCCTCTCCCTCTCCCTCTCTCCCTCTGAGGGGTCCTTGGTGCTCTCTGAGCTGGGTGGTTTTCTTGCAGGTGTTTCATGGCCCAACTAGGGAACATCGTCAGTGCTGATGAGAGTTTGGGTAATAAAATGTCTGCAGGAAAACCAGCCAGTTCAGAGAGCACCAAGGATCCCACTGTCTTACGGTTTATTGGTTGGAACATCCCAGGTTATTTTATTAATTGGTTTTTTTGATATGCTACCTATCTCACCATCAAGCAACACTGTTGAGTTGTGTATGTTAACCTGCGCTTAGAGTTTAGGGTGCTCTGTGAGCCCAGTTTCTTAGTCTTTTCCAGGCAGAGCTTTGGGATGGGGGTGTTTCCTCGGCTCTGCTTTTGACCTCTTCCACCCATTGACCGGCTCTTTGCCACAAGGGCCTGGAAGCTCTTCTCCCTATTTCCCTTCCCTTCAGCATCTTCTCTGCCCAAAGGTCTTCATGGCTCAGCTTTCCTTCCTTCCTTTTCAGCCTCTTGTTAGCTGCTCTGCAGATAGGAAGCGGAGCCAATATTTTAGGATATAATAAAACTTAGCCAGCCAGCCGGGAAGCAGCGCAGCCCTGGTTAATGGTTAACGGTCCCCGGGGGCTCTGGGCGGATGCGGGGTGGGTTCCCAGGCGGGGAGGCGGCGGGCAATAATAGCGGCTCCCTTCCCGAGGTGGCCGGAGCCTTCCCGAGGAGCTGCCCCGAGTGCAAACGCACGGAGCACGGAGGCGCCTCGAAGCCACCGGTGAGCCGACCCCGCCGGGGACCCCGCCCGCCTCACCTGTCCGCCGACCGGGCGCCCGGGATCGGGCAGGCAGCTCCCCCGGCCACGCCCGAGGGGCGGCGGCGCTCCGGCAACGGAGCCTTGACCTGGAGCGGGCCCGGGGAGGGCTCCCTTTGCCCGGGTGGGGTGGAAGCCCCGCAGCGTCCGGCGGCGCCCCATATGAGACCCCCGGGCGGCGGAGCTGTGCGCAGACGGGATGGCGCCGGACTCGGGTCTGGAGCCTGGCCGGAGGGTTGGGGGAGGCGCGATCCTTTCGGTGAGCAGAGATCCGCGCCGGCTGCGCGGTCACTGGACGGCTTTTCAGCTGCCTGGGACGGGGATCCGGCCAAGAAGGAGCGGGCAGCGGGCTTGGAGGGAAGGGAAGGGAAGGGAAGGGAGCACGGAAAGGGGCTTTTGGCTGCCGCTGGAGGACCCTCTGTCCGTCCAGCGGGGATCCAGAGTCGGCTGACATCCCGAGTTGGCCTCCAGCAGCAGGGAGACGTTGCAGGCGGCGGGCGGGCAGCCTTTGGCTCTCTGTCACCCTTACCCGGGTCAGGGAAGGCGCTAAGGCTGCATTCCCACAATCTGCAGCTCAACTAAGCCAAGGACGTATCTTAAAGGGGGGGGGCGGAGGGAGAGAAAGATGTAATGAGTTTACTTTGGCAGAGCCTCTTAATTCTGGGAGGGTGTGTGTGTGTGTGTGTCCCTGGACGCGTTTCCCAAATGGGTCTGGAACAGCCTGGGGCGACCCCCTAACGACCTGGTTAATCATTTCTGAATCTTGCAGAGTGAAATTCCTACCGGCTCAGCCTTTCTACCTTCCAGCGGGTAGGATGAGCTTCCCTCACTGGGCACCTTGCACGATGCCAGCTGCTTCTTAGCAGGTTGAGGTGGGGTCTGGCTTAGCTCCTTGCAAGGTGCAGAGAGCAGGAGGGTCGTGGGTGCATTTTTAGAGAAGCAACAGCCACAACAGCCACAGCCATTTCCACCATGTCCTGACTACAGGGTGCAGGAAAGCCACAGCGGAAGCCGAGAGATTCAGCCGGACGGACACCCAGTTGCTGCCGGGAGGAGAAAGAGGGAAGGTGGCACCCAGGCGCTTGGGAAAGGCAGCCCCAGCAGCCCCAGAGGGAGCCCGGGCCAGCAAGCGGGGTCCTCCGGCGTGCGCTGAAGGCGGGGGAGCCAGCCAGGAAGGGTGGAGCAGGAGCTGTCCACAGGTAGGAGAAAGCAGTGCAATAGGGGGACTGAGGCTGGGTGGGCAGGGAGGGAGGGGAAGAGGTGGGTGAGACCTCTCCTTGGCGAGTCCACCGGGCCTCTAAGAGGTCAGCTGCGGCTCTGAGCCAAAGGAGGTTGATGCGCCCACCAGTGGGGGTCCAGGACAGGGTCTGGATTGGGCCCTTCCAGGAGGAGAGCTCGCTCCACAACCCCGAGAAAGGGAATCAGAGAAGCAGCTGAAGGGAGAACCCAGACTGAAACGTGAAACTGAAGAGGTGGAGAACTTGGAGACGCTTCTGCTCCAGACCATGTGAGGAGGTCATCTATCCTCCCTTTCCTCCTCCTCCTCCTCCTCCTCCTCTTCCTCCTCCTCCTCCTCCTCCTCCTCCTCCTCCTCCTCCTGTTCTTCTCACCAGTCCTGGCTGGGGGTCCTCTTGCTTAGAACTTCTTGAGATGCCAATAAAGGAGAATATTTGTAGCTCAGGGTTGAAATGAGGGGTCCTTGGTGGTGTCTAAGCTTGCTTGTTTTCTTACCCTAACTAGGTCACATCATCAGTGCTAGTCAAGAGGCTATTTGCTGTCCTTAGGGTCATGAGACGTCTGCAAGAAAAAAAGCAAGGACCGCTCACTTCCTGAGATGGTTGGCCAAGAGGGCTGATGCTGGGATTCTCGTTTTGTCTTCCCTGTCCAGGAGCCAGGATCCCATTGGACAAACCTGCCCCCACATGGCTGCCCTTAATGACAGCAGCTTTGACCCCATAACCTTCGTCCTGACGGGAATCCCGGGCATGGAGGAATCTCACATCTGGATCTCTGTCCCCTTCTGCCTGATGTATGTGGTGGCCCTGACGGGGAATGCCTTTCTCCTCTTTCTCATCGCCACAGAGCGCAGCCTCCACCAGCCCATGTACCTCTTCTTGGCCATGCTGGCAGTAGCTGACCTCATGCTGTCCACCTCCACAGTGCCGGAGATGCTGGCCATCTTCTGGTTTGGATCCAGGAAGATTTCATTTGATGCCTGCATTGCCCAGATGTTCTTCACCCACTTCAGCTTCATCGCGGAGTCCACCATTCTCCTGGCCATGGCCTTTGACCGTTACGTCGCTGTTTGTGACCCACTGCGCTACATGACCATTCTCACGCCTTCCGCAATAGGCAAGGTGGCCATCGCCGCCACCGTCAGGGGTCTGGCAATCATGTTTCCCCCCATCTTCCTCCTGAAGAGGCTGCCCTACTGTGGCCACAGCACAATGCCACACACCTATTGCGAGCACATGGGCATCGCCCGCCTGGCTTGTGGGGACATCACCGTCAACATCTGGTACGGCTTCACAACTACCCTCCTGTCCTCTGGCGTTGATGTGGTGCTGATCGCTGCCTCCTACGCCTTGATCCTCCGGGCTGTCTTCCAGCTGCCCTGCAAGGAAGCCCGGCGCAAAGCTCTCCGCACCTGTGGCTCCCACATCTCGGTCATCCTCATGTTCTACATGCCAGCCTTCTTCTCCTTCCTCACCCATCGCTTTGGCCACAACATCCCTAGTTGGATCCATATCTTGTTGGCCGACCTCTACGTGATCGTGCCGCCCATGCTCAACCCCATTGTCTACGGAGTCCGAACAAAGCCAATCCGGGAGAGGGTCATCCATGTGCTCTCACAGATGGGGAGGACCTGCTTCTAAGCCCCGAACAAACTCCAATGGAGGACTTGGGTTGTAGGTTGCTACAGGATGAGAGCTGCCTCCTTCTTAGGGGAAGGAGATGGACCCCCAGGTCAGAGGAAGCAAGAATTCTTGTGAGGTGGTTACTCTTCTGTCTCTTCTCCCCTGGGGAAAACGCCTTCTTCCTTGGTCAATGTGGCTACAGATCTATTCAAGCTGCCCCCTCCTTGCCTGTCCTTCCCTGGTGAGGAGCCTTTTCCCTGGAGTCAGAAGGAGTATTGCGGTCAGCTGCCCTTCTCCTGTGCCGCTTGTGGACTCTCCGGATCTCTCTGATTGGCCTCTCTGAGACCCAGAGCACTGGACAAGTGGGGCCCTGTTCAATCCAGGGTTCTTCTGGACTCTTCCACAACTGGTGCTTCTTTGGCTGCCAGGGGGTGAGGGTAGATGGGTACCCGGTCTGGTCTCCTCCTTTAAGCTGTCCCTGGAGAGGATTTGGATGGGCTGGGCCTTTTTGCTTCCGCCCCATTGGGTGGTCTTTTCTTGAAAGCATTTGGGGAGGGGGCTGGGCACATCCTAAACTCTGGCGATGGGCTCCTGCCCTGGGTTGCTCAGCCAACAGAGGTTTTGTCTTGCATGAAAGTGGGGGCTGCTGGACTGATGTGAGCACAAAAACCTGCTCAAGTGGCCAAGGGGACACCCCTCCCCCAGAACCACAAGGGGGAAGTAGGTGAATTGGGGCCCACCATGAGAATGCCAGAGACTCCCTTGTTTTGCCCCAGGCCAACCTCTGTGCCCAACTGGCTGACGTCCCTGTGTCCCCTTGTCCTGCTTCAGATGGACATTCAGTAGCACATTTTGCGGGAGAGGCTGGGGAAAGAGCAGAGGGAGGGGCTGAGAAAGCCGGACTCTCTCCTGGGGGGAGATGCTGCCCAAACCTCGTCCTTGGGGAGCCTCCAAGTCACCTCCTGTGACAGAGAAGAGGGGATCTACTCATTCTCCAGAGCACCTGAGGGCAGGACAAAAAGCAGTAGGTGGAAAATCATTAAAAAGAGATCCAGACTGGAATTTAAGGAGGAATTTCCTGACAACGGAACAGCTTCCCTCCTGGGGTTGGGGCTGCTTCAACACTGCAAATTTTCAGAAATAGACTGGATAACCATTTGACTGGGATGGTCTAAGGTCCCTGATTGATCAGGGGGTTGGAGTAGAAGACCTCCAGGGTCTCTTCCAGCCCCAGGATTCTACGTTCTATGGCACCTGCCTGCTGAGGCCAGGTCAGGGGGTGCTAGCTGCTTCTTGTGCCAGAAGCCTTGCCAGCAGTCGGCTGAGGCCTGGGCTGGGGGATGTAACCCTAACCCTAACCCTTGGCAACGTTTGGCCTAGATTGCACAGCTGGGCACTGCCAGAGCTGGCACGAAGGCCTCTGGCTGGAGGAAAGCCCACAGCAGAGGCACGAAAGCTTTGGGGGCTGAAGCCGAGGAAGTCCCTGGGTGGCTGTTGGGAGAATTTAAATCCCATTTGCCAGGCAGCTTCCAGGCGTATGTCTTGTCAGCAACACCCAGGACTAGTAAAGGAGGACAACTGGGCTCCTTTCAGCCACAAGCGAAAAAGAACTTTTAGCCCAGGAGGCGAGAACTTTCTGGATCTGCTTGTTTCTGGCTGGGGGTCCTGCCAGCCAGAGATGGTGGGGGACGGTGTGGGACTCCAGCATATCTAGATCACTCAATCAGAATATATCTGGAAGGGACCTTGGAGGTCTTCTAGTCCAACCCCCTGCTCAAATAGGAGACCCTATACAATTTGAGACAAATGGCTGTCCAGTCTCGTCTTAAAAACCTCCAGTGTTGGAGCAGCCACAACTTCTGGAGGCAAGCAGTTCCACTGGTTAATTGTCCTCACTGTCAAGAAAGTTCAGTTCTAGGTTGCTTTTTTCCTTGATCAGTTTCCAACCATTGATTCTTGTCCTGCCTTCTGGTCCTTTGGAGAATAAGTTGATCCCCTCTTCTCTGCGGCAGCCCCTCAAATACTGGAAGGCTGCTATCATGTCCTCCCAGTCCTTCTTTTCTCTAGACTGGCCATCCCCAATTCCTGCAACCGTCCTTCATGTGCTTTAGTCTCCAGGCCCTTGATCGTCCTAGTTCTTGTTCTCTGCACTTTTTCCCAAAGCCTCAATGTCTTTTGTGTGATGTGACCAAAACGGGATGCAGCATTCCAGGTGTGGCCTCACGAAGGCTTTATAAAGCGTAGAAGGCACCATGCTGGAGAGAGCTGAGGGGTTTGGCTGCCGCGGCATCAGTTGTCACTCCAACTTCAGCAAGGGGCTCTTGCTTGAGGACATTGTTAATGGGGGGGGTGAACTGTGGGGCTCTTTAGTGAAGGGAGGGAGGCCAGACTGCTGGCGGTTGAGGGGAAACTTCCATAGTTGTGCACTGCATTGAGCTTGTGACCGTTCCACTCCATTTCCTGCCCAGCGCCAGTTGTGGGAAGAAGCTGCAGGACGTGCAACTGTTGAGTTGTCTTCTGAGGCAAGGAACTTTGTGCTGGGATGCCACCTGTGGCTTGCATAGGTTGGCCCTGGGAGAGGTCCCTGCCCACAGAACTGCCCCCTGGACAGCCTAGAAGGCCAGGCAGAGGTCCAGCCAGTGGCCTCAACAATGACATCACAGACAACGGATTCTGCATCAGAAGGTTGGCGTGGTGCATCTGTGGGTGGGTGGGAGGCACAGGTAGAAGAGGAGAACTCTAGCTTGCATGTGGGCAGAGTGAGGAAGCCGGGCAGGGGCACTTTGGGCTGGGATGAGCAGCGCACTCTGACTCTGACCAGCCACAGCCGAGGGAGACCTCTTGGCCCTGCTTGCTACCCGCTTGGCCTTCATTCTTTTCCCAGAAGAGAGAAGCAAAACTTGGGGGCATTATGGTTGAAAGCCAGGTCATTCCAGGAGTTGACTTCAGATCCACCAAAGAGCCACAAGTTGTCCGGATAATTGTGAAGACGCCCTGGCAGAAGGAAGAGTTTTTGGTCCACAAGGACATGCTGGTGAGGGAATTCAAGGAGCATGTAGCCCGGCACTTGTCCTCTTCTCCTTCCCAAATCGTGCTGGTCTACACTGGAAGGATCTTAAAAGACCACAAGTCCCTCGCCCAGCATGGGATCCACCTGGACAGCAACGCTGCCGTCTACGTCGTCGTCCGATCCCAACAAGCATGTCCACCCCAGCAGGTGCCCACCCTTCCAGCTGACCTGGGACCAGACCCCAAAGCCCCCAGGAATGGCACTTTCACGAGTGATGGCTTGCGGGAGCTGACGGCCAGTCTGGGCCTGAACACGGCCAATTTCACAGAATTCCAGAACCAGCTGATGTCCAACCCTGACCTGATGCTGCAGCTTCTAGAGAACCCCTTCATCCAGAGCAAACTCTCGAGCCCCGACCTGATGAAGAAGCTGGCCACCAAGAGCCCTCAGATACGGCAGGTGATTCAGAGGGCCCCCGAGATCAGCCACGTCTTCAGCTCTCCTGAAGGCATGAGGTTGTTGTTGGAGCTGGCCAGGAACCCGGCGGCTGTGCGGGAAATCATTAAATCCCCACCCCAGGCTCAGCCGTGTCCCGGGAGTGTCCCCAGTGGAGACGGCAACACGGCCTTGCAGGATGTGCTGACCAAGGTGCAGGGCCTGCTGCAGAAGGCCCTCCCTAAGAGATCGGCCCCCACCGTCTGGCCGGGAGCTCTAGGAGGCCACCAGCCCTCCTTTGACCAGGGCGAGAAGTCTGGGTGGGTCAGGCAGCAGCTGCCTTCCCCCAAACTCTGGCCCCCGAGGGCTAGTGGCCAGAACGTTGGCATGGCTGCTGGCAATGACCACAGCAGAGGGGAAAGTGGTAACTTGCGAGGGGAGACGGGCCAGCTGGCCTCCGCAGCGGTGAAGACCCTGTTCCACCAGATCATCAAGCACCTCATGCAGAGCATGGCGAGCAGCCCCTCCAGAAACCCCACCGGTCAGGGTCTCAGCTCAGACGTGGTGGGCAAAGCTGCCCAGAGGTACATGGCTGGATCCAGAAGCTCCCGGGAGCAGATTCTGGCACTCTTGCAGCAGATTCAAAACACAGATCTCCTTCTGGCAAGCTGGAGCCCTAAAGAGATCCGGGGGCTGATGGAAATTCAGCAGAGATTGCAGGCCTTGGCGACCGATGAGCCGGTGGCAGAGAGATGCGGCCGAACAGAGCGTCCTGCCCGGAGATCGTATTCCATCACCTCTCTCTGTGATATTGTCCCCCCACCTGTCCCAGGGGATGAGGAGGACTTCTCTGCTCCTGAGATCTGGCAGAGCCTGGCGGCGGATGACTTCTTCTGCAGCCCCCCACTCAGTGTCCGCCTGCGGGGCTGCTCGACACAACAACCCCCTTCGAAGCAGCAGACATACAAGCTCTGAAGTGCCGGGGCTGAGCCCTTGGCAGAGTGGATGGGGCCCTTCGGGGGCAGCTTCTGGGCGGATGCTAGAGCTTCATAAAGGAATGGATTTCATGGTTTCTGATTAAAAGCTTTAAATCTTTCACCACGTCTCCTGTTGCCTGTGGTTGGGCCCTGCCCTGGGCCTCTAGTCCTTAAGGTTGGATTCACTTCTTGGGAAGGGGGTCAAAACCTCTAACAACATTCGGGGAGTTTGGCCCTTTTTCCTAAGAAGAGAAATCTGGGGCTGGGCTGGCAACCTTCCATGGGGGATGCAACCCCCTCATCTTCTTCCATGCTCCCATCTCTTGCAATGAGTCACTGGAAGCCACTGCAAGAGTCATCCCAAGGGGGCTTTTCCAAAAGGCACCTGGGCTTTCTGGATTGTTTTCCTTTAAAATGTTTCGCTTCTCATCCATTTCTTCGGTTCTGAAGACGCTTCTTGGTTGATAAGCGAAACGTTTTCAAGCAAAAAAAAAAGCCCAAGAAAGTCCAGTTGCCTTTTGGAAAAGCCCCCTTGGGACAACCATGGCCTGGACGACTGAGAACCTCCATAGACACTGCAATGGTCTGCACTGGTGGCCACTGGTTTGGTGATGGATCATAACTGCACCCGGTCCACAGGAGACCATTGTCATGGTAGACATCCCAGTCCACAGTTGCAGAAGGAAGCATCCATCAACCCATGTAAAACCCCACAGTGGCATGAATGGAGTTGGACCACTGCCAACAGCGGGGTGGGGGAGGTTCCTTAGCCACTTTATTTCATTCTGTCTCTCCTGTTTGACGGTGGACGGATGAAACCGCAGGATTTGTGCAGACTCTACTTGGCAAAGCCTCCGAGGACCCCTGGGTGGGCCAAGTCCTTCTGCTCCCCACAGCTGAGCAAATCCATCCAAGAGAGCTCTTTCCAAGTTCGGAGATAAAAATCCCCCTTTTAGATAGCTGGACACAGCAATCTTGAGGTTGTGTAAAGCTGGTGGCTAAGCTCACATAATAACACACTAGATTTAAGATTTAATATCCAGCATGTTGTGAGGGAGTCATAAGTCATATCATGGTTGACCTACTTGGGCTTAGCAAAGTACTGTATGTATCAAAGAGTAGTTAAGCACCATTTGTTTATTTAATCGTTCATTCATTCATTCATTCATTCATTCATTCATTCATTCATTCATTCCATTTCTATAGCTGTCCAACTCAACCAAGTGACTCTGGGAGGCTATAGAATGATATGGCTTCAGATTACTTGCAGGAACTACTAGAAAAGGGAATAAAAACTAAACTGCCAATATTGTGACATGCCAATTTCCAGTGCCTGTGGAGCACCATACATAATTCTGGTGGCATGCTTGGAAGAGGCTGGAAGAAGGCAGGACAACCCAAATAGCCATAGCAATAGCACTTAGACTTACCTTGTTTCCCTGAAAATAAGACATTCCCTGATAATAAGCCCAATCGGGCTTCTGAGCGCATGTGCTAAAATAAGCCTCCCCCCTGAAAATAAGCCCTCCCCGAAAATATTTAAATGCAGAGCTGGAAATCAGGTAAGACAGCAAGAGGAGCCGCATCTTGCTCCATGCACCTCAAAATAACAAGACCTCCGCGAAAATAAGGCCAAGCATTTATTTCAGGGTTCAAAAAAATATAAGACAGGGTCTTATTTTCAGGGAAATACGGTATACGCCACTCTTGGAGTGGTTTACAGAGTCAGTCTCTTGCCCTCAACAATCTGGGTCCTCATTTTACCGACCTCAGAAGGATGGAAAGCTGTGTCAACCTTGAGCCAGTCAGTACTGAACTCCTGACTGTGGGCAGAGTCAGCCTCCAATGCTGCATTCTAAGCATCGTTCTAAGGTTCCTCCCTCTGGGAAGCCTATCATCCAGCCTATTATGGGATGGCAGATCTGGGCAACCAGTTGTATTCTAGCTTCTGGAGAGATAAAAGATACCCTCCTCAACCTCGAGAAACCCCCCCCCCATTTCCTGCACCCTCCAACCCAAGAAGCGGCTCCTTGCAGAGCAGAAGAAGGTGAGGCGGCCTTGCCTGAGGGAAGAGGGCTTGGCCTTGCAAATCAGCTCAGGGCCCCAGACCGGCTCCTGGGTGCTCTTTTGACCAGCTTGGCCATGGGGTGACATTGGGTGATGTCACAGTGACGCCCCCACCTGGCTGGGATAATGGAGGGAGCAGCTCCTTGGCTCAGCAAGAAGGAGGGAAGGAAACTAAGAGGAGGGGGAGAAACGGAGGCCTGGGAGGGGCTCTTGACACCCACCCATGCTTTGTTTTCAGGGTGCCGGTTCTCCTCCCATCAGAGAAAGTCCATCCATCTTGGAGACTTGACACCAACACATTCCTTTTGTTCAGCAAGGTGAGAGATCTCTGGCGTGTTTCTTCTATGCAGGCCCCTTCTCCTCCTCTTCCTCCTCCATGCACCATGGAGACCATGAACAGGCACCAAGAAGGCGGCCCCCATGCCTGCCCCAGCCTGGCCTCCAACCCCAACTTTATCTGTGTCACTGCGAAATCTCCCAAGGGCAGTGCCCAGTTTGCGCTGCCTCAGGAAACGACCATCCGGCAGTTCAAGGAGGAACTTTCGAAGCACTTCAAGTGTAAGACACACCAGTTGGTGTTGGTCTTCTTCGGGAGGATCTTGAAGGACCAGCGCACCCTCCAGCAGTGTGGGATCAGTGATGGGATGACTGTCCACCTGGTCATCCGATCCCTGAAGAGTGGCCCAGAAGACTCTACTCAGTCATCCTACATGCCCAGGACCTCAAGCTGCGCCCTGGCACCAATCTCCCAGGGTTCTTGGGGGCCTCTGGAGTGGCACCAGATGCCAACCTCAGAGATGGTTGTTCAGAAGGTACGGCAGCTGATCTTGGCCAACCCAGAGATCCAGCAACTGTCTCAGCAGTTCCCTGCCATCTGCCACATCCTGAACAACATGGGCATCATGCGGGTGATCTTGGACAAGATGAGAGAAATTATGGACCTCGCAAAGAACCCTGACGTGGAACAGGACCTGAAGAATCCAGAGTCACTCCTGATTAGTGTTCAGAGCAACACTCCCGGTGGAGACAACCCCTTGAGGCAACTCAACAGTGAGGTTCAGGAGCCAGGGCTGAATGCAGGCCAGGACCCCCTTGCCACCCCTAGCCCTTATGTCACCCTGGCCAGGAACCCTTGTCCAGAACACAAGGCCAGGAGTGGAGAGGGAGGAGGCTCCCCGTGCTCCGACTCTTTCCCCATCTCCAACAGCTACGGGAGGTTTTGCACCAACAACTCAAGCAATGAAGAAAGTGGCCTCTTCAGCAGTCTTCCTGGTCCTCTCGGGCCTTCCCTGTCCAGCCTTGGGCCCAACCCTGGGGCAGGAGCAGGTAACGTAGGGGGGATCCAGGCCCTGATTGTAAACCTCTGCAACGCCTACACCCAGCGCGTGATGCTCTCCCTCATGCAGAATGCGCTGCTGGCCTCTGAAGGGATGCAGGCCGCCCGCCAGGACCATGTCCAGCAGCAGCTGCAAAACTTCTATCGGCAGATGCAGAGGCCAGAGATGGTGGCGGCCTTGTCCAACCCCAAGGCCATCCAGGCCTGGGTGCAGATGGAGCAGGGCCTGCAGATGCTGATGGAGGAAGCCCCGGTGCTCATCCCCTGGTTCTTGCTGCGCTTGAAGGGGCTGGGGCACACGTCTGCGATGGGAGCCATGGCCACCGGCTCTCCCTCGGAAGAAGAACCGGCTGTTTTGGAGTAGAGGCATGACGCCTCCTCTCTTGGGTGGGCCTCACATCTTCTCCCAGGAAGGCAGGGGCTGCGCCAACTCCAAGGTCAGATTGGCAGCCCCGGGTGCAAGTTGGAGAGGCACCATTCCCACACAGCTGGCCTGCTGGGAACCAGAAGAAGCAGTTCCAGGAAGTCAGAGGGAAACCAGGAGATCTCCTCTGCGCTGGGGGTGACATTCCTGCCACATGTTCTTCAACATCCGCTCCACGTTATAAACCAAAACTGAAAGACAAGCAGCCTTCCTGCCTGCTCATTCCCACCAGGTCAGAGTCTTACACTAAAAGGCTACTCAGTAGCTCCGGCCTGAATGACTCATTGGCCATTGATGGCCACTTTGGGAAGAGGAAGCCCCATGGCTGTTCAGAGCTGGGGGGAGGGGTGTATTCCATTCCCATGGTCAGCATTGGCTGCCCCCGCAGGAGAATGTAGTGGGGACACTCAGGCTGGGTTTGGGGCCTGAATTCTATGCTGTACTCTGGAAGGCTCAGCCCAAGCACCAGCTGGGCCTCAGGAATTGAGGGAGTGGCACCAGGCATGGATTGGCAGAACCTTGCTGAGACATCCTCCTCCTCCTCCTCCAGAGCGGGGTGGGTGGGTAGGTGGCGAGAGAAGCAGACGGGTTCTTCCCTTGAGGCCGCAGAGGAACTTCAGAGCAGAATGTGGGGAGGAATCTGCAATGATGATTTTCTAGGAGGCCCCAAATGATTCCCTTCTGGAAGAAAAACTGCAGGAGCAACTCAAGTTGGTTGGCATCCCATGGCATCCAAATGGAATGAGCAAATCAATCATTCAATCAATCACTCTTGAAAGGAGCATACACTCCATGCTCTCTTGGAGAGTTTGGCAGGGACCAGCTGCTTTGTCCCTTTGGTGAAGCCCCAAGCCATTACGGCTCCCCACTCCCCCAAGCCAGTTCCAGGAGGTAAAGGAGCTGGAAGAGACCTAGGAGGTTTGGAGATGTTTGGCCTGCAGAAGAGACTGAGGGGAGACACATGAGCAGCCTTCAAAGATCACACCGAGGAGGGAGTGGGCATAGTCTCTTGTGCCCCAAAGGGCAAGAGAAGGCAGTTCAGGCTGGGCATCATCAATAAAATTTATCATCAATAAAATAAATGTGTCATTAGAAGAGAATATTTGGAGCTCAGGGTTGAATTGCAGGGTCCTTGGTGGTTTTCTTGCAGACACTTCATCACCGAATTAGGGAACGTCACCAGTGCTAGATAGCAGAGTGCAAACTGAGAGCAAACCCCACTCCCTTCTAGCACTGAAGATGTTACCTAACTGGGTCATGAAATGCCTGCAAAAAAGCATTAGCACTGGTGATGTTCCCTAGTTTGGGTAATGAAACCTCTGCAAGAAAACAACCAAGCTCTAAGAGCACCAAGGAGCCCTCATTTCAACCCTGCTCGAAATATTCTCCTTTGTTGGTTATAAGTGATTGGAAAGAGAGGCAAGGTCCTTCCCAAAGTCATCCGTGAATCTGTGATATCAGGGGGTTGTGTGGTGCAAGACCAGAGTAGCAAAGTGCCCAAGAGCGGACTCCACCCTGCATAGGGGGAGGATGATGGCCAAACTTCATGAGGGCAAAACCCCTGGAGATGTGGTCCACCAACTGTGTCACAGATCTCTGTGAGGTCAGCAGTGAGATCACAGTCCAGCCAAGTTCAGGGAGAAGAAATGCCCAGGGCAGCAGCAGAGGGGAGAAAAGGAAAATGAAGGAACCTGCCAGGTTGTGAGCCACTGAAGAGAAGGGCAACATCTCGCTGGTATGTGTGCTCTGGCCTTGGCTGGTGCTGAGACACAAGGGGGCAGGAGACCACTGGCCCCTTCCCACCTCCTCACAAGCACCGCCGCCTCACTGGAAAGAGACTTCCTGCTTCCCTCCTCTTTCTCCCTCAGCCTCTGCTCTCTTCACAAGGGCCTTCCTCACCATCCAGACCGTGGCCGCAGCCTCTGAGCGGCCATGTCCGAGAGCAAAAGAGCACCCGGGGCCACTACGAACCATAGAAGCCGGGTCATCAGAGTCACTGTCAAGACCCTCAAGCGCAAGGAGCAATTTGAGGTGGCCGAGAGCACCCGCATCCAAGAGTTCAAGAAACTGATCGCTGACCGCTTCAAGACACCCCCCGAGCAGCTGTCCCTCATCTTTGCTGGTGAGATTCTCAGTGACCAGGATACACTCGTGCAGCGCAAGATTGGCGATGGATCCAAAGTCCATCTCTTCATCAAGTCCCAGAGGAAGCCCTCAGGCAGCCCAGGAGACAATCCAGCTGCGCCCACCGCCTTCCCGCCAATGCCAGCCACTCGAGAGATCTCCTCGGAACACAGTCTGGACCTTTCGGATTGGAGCAATCAGCCTGAAGACCTGATGGCCTCCTGCCACGAAATTGTGGCCCAGACCATGGAGAACCTTCTGCTCCAGATGGTTACGCTGAACCTGGATGCCTCTGCCTTGAACAGCAACCCGCTTCTCCTGGGCTTCCTCATCGGGGTCACCGGCATGAATGTGCTGGACTTAAATGCCCAAGACGTTTCTGACTTTGTCAGTGAAGCCCAGGAGCAGGATGCGACCCGGCAGGAACTCATCATTGAAGTGATGCAGCACCCCTTTGTGCAGAACCTTTTTGGGGACACCGAACAGGTCAGGCAGATGATCATGTCTGTGCCTCAGATGCAGCAGCTGGCCGAACAGAACCCCGAGATCAACCACATCCTCAACAACTCCGAATTCCTGCGGGAAATGATTGATGTGGCCACCAGCCCGGCCGTCATGGATGAGATCATCAGGAACCACGACCGAGCCCTGAGCAACCTGGAGAGCACCCCGGGGGGTTACAGTGCCTTGCAACAGCTGTACAACGACATTGAGGTACCAATGCTGAACGCGGTGCAGGCCCAGTTCCAGGGCAGTTCGTTTCCTCTCTCAGATACCAAACCTTCCCCTGGGGGGATCAGCCCCCTCTCTCGGACAGAGAACAGGGAACCCCTGCCGAACCCCTGGGCACCCCAACCGAATAGCAGCGGTGGTGACAACATATGTAACGGTGACATCAGCAATGCTGGTAATGGCGCTGAGCAAGGTTACATCCTGCTAGCGTTGGGCCCCGGAGTCCGGCCAGGACCTAGCAAGACGGAAAGCATCCAAAACATGGTTCATCAGCTCACAGACAACCTGGAATTCATGCAGAACATCTCCAACGCCCTCACGAAGCCTAACGGCCCCACTCAGACGTTCCTCAGTCACTGCAACTCCCCGATGAGGAATGAGGGGCCTCCGCCTCAGGAGTGGGCACAGCAGCTCCCGTCCAAAGTGGCCAAGTCAGCCTCTGCCCTGCTGCTGACCAACCCCCGAGCGGTCCAGGCTCTCCTCCAGTTGCAAATGAGCCTGCTGATTCTCACCAGGGAAGTCCCCGATTTCCTGCAAGCTTTGACAGACCCCGATGTTGACCTAGAAAGCATGGAAGACTCTGAGGAGGGGGACAGCCCGTCTTCCGAAGCAGAAAGCTTCATCTCCATCGAAGAAAGCTTGGAGCTGGAGAGCAACGCGTCCAAAGCAGATGATGAAGAAAAGGAGGAGGAGGAGGAGGAAGAGGAAGACATGGAACAGCAAGCTCCAGAGGCCCTTTACCAGATCCAGTTGGAGCAGCTCAGAGCAATGGGCTTCCCCAACCAGGAACTGAACCTTCAGGCTCTAATGGACACAGAAGGAGATATCAGTTTGGCAATTGAAAAGCTAACAAACTCTCGTGCATCCTAGCTACAGATTTACCTTTGCCTCTTGTAGGGTCATCTGACACACTAAAGTCAGCATGGTGGATATAAACTGCCTTTGGTGCTCCTTTCCTCCGGTTGAAACCCTGGGCAGCGACATGGCTCTCCTGGCACGGCCGGGACAGGCAGAGCTTTACTGGCAGATGGGCTGCTCCCTTCAGCCTCCCAAAGTGGATCCCGTCAGAGCCCACTGCCATCTCTTGGCCCCTCCAGGTTTTGAATGTTTGAAAAGCAGCATTTTTAGGTGGGAATCTGCTTGCTGCAAAGCCAAGGGACGGCCTCCAGCCACCACGGTTCTCTCCTTTCCAGGGCTGCCAGGAAGATGCAGCCCCTGGTTGTGTTCGGTAGCATCTCCAGCCACAGAGACAAACAATGCAAAAAATAATCAGGATGCAGCAACAAATCTCTTTCTCTGTCTCTCCCTCCCTCCCTCTCTCTGCCTCTCTCTCTCTCTCTGCCTCTCTCTCTTTCTGTCTCTGTCTCTCTATCTCTGTGTCTCTCTCTTCCTCCATCCTCTCTGTCTCTGTCTCTGTCTCTTTCCCTTCCTCCTTGTCTGTCTCTGTGTCTCTCTGCCTCCCTCCCTCCCTCTTTGTCTCTCTCTCTCTGTGTCTCTCTTTCCCTCCCTTCCTCTCTGTTTCTGCCTCCCTCCCTCCCTCTCTGTCCCTCTCTGTCTTTTTCTATCTCTCTCCCTCTCCCCCTCTCTCTTTCTGGTAGCATCCTGATTACCATGGTTTATATTTTGCTTGTTTGCTATCGCTTATATTTTGCTTGAGGTTCTACCAGAATTTTGTAGGTGTTCAATGTCTTTGTGTTGATGAGCTGTGCATGGCTTAGAGATGGAGCTCTCACCTCACGATCAGGAGACTGTGAGTTTGATCCTAAGTAGCAGCAGATATTTCTTTCTCTGGACACAGTGAGCAATTGTCTGCTGTGAACTCCACGTAGGCGTCAGAAGGGCATCTGGCCAGTAAACACTCTAGCTCTGTTCAGTCACCCCATCTTCACCCCAGTGCAAGGGATTATAGGGTGGTTAAAAGAAAAAGACAGAAAGTCTCTCTTTGTGTTGCTTAGGTGAGCATGTGTGGATGCATTTCTGGGAGCAGTGTGGTTTTGGTATTTTGTGAGGGCAAACAACATTTTGAGATGTGGGCTCAGCTCCAACCTTTTATCAGTTTCTTGCCCAAAGCATTTGTCTTTAAGCATCATCAGTTGCCCATCTGGGGGGAGGAGTAGAAAACTGTAGGTTCCAAAGAATGGATCCCCTTCTTAAGGTCTCAAGCCAGCCATTTTTCCTTTAATCTTTTCGATTGGCTTGCAAGGAAATGCTTGACTTCCACAGCAGTTAGGAGCCGTGGTGGCACAGTGGTTAGAATGCAGTATTGGAGACTGACTGTCCACTGCCAGGAGTTTGATATATACCCCTTCATAGTGCTTTATAGACCTCTCTCTAAGCAGTTTACAA